GTACCTGTCATAATTTGTGATTGCATCAGGAAAACCTTGGCGTTTTGGATAATTTTCAGCTAGAAAATACTTGGCGTCCGTGTAACAGATGTGGTGGACTGGTATTGAGTTGTTTTAGGATTACATCTTGGCTACAACATGTTTGGATTGTGTCTTGTGATGTAAGGAAGTTATTTCTAGATATTATTATCATATCTCAGGTAGAAGATATGTGTAGATATATAAGCTGAGAGAAAGAGGAAGAAAGACAGACAGATAGACAATTACATCTTTTTATTTACTTCAATTGAAAGCTCCAGTACGAGCTATTCTTCCAGATACCTCTAGTCTCAATCATTAAAGCTTCCGAACCAGCTCAAAAGGTTCGACATTGGGCTATAGGTTGGGCTTTCACGCACCATTCCTGAACATGCTGCCTAAAGGAGAGTTAGGAGTCTAGCAATGCTCCGAGCTATGCTCCGAGCTATTTTACACATAGGGATGGTTGAATGCTTTGTCTCTTGATCTGAATGCAGAGTTCTGTGGTGTCGACTCTTTTCTTTGGTCCTCCTCCTATCACTAGGAGTTCCGACTTAGCTGGATCGAAGTCTATCTTGTGTAATTAGCTAGCGAGACAAGATTGTTAACTTAGTGTTGAAGTGTTTCTACTGTTTGAGCCGTAGTGCTTCCTACACCGAAAATGGCTATGTCGTCCGCATATTCAAACGGGTTCTACCATTGCCGTCCTGGAGCAGAATAGCGATGTACCGTAAGAACAAGAGCGGTGACGGTGGCGAGTCTTGAGGGACCCCGCACTCCATCACTTTGTCTTGCGTCGTCCCATTTTGATGTCGGACATGTATCCTTTGCTGAGACAGAAAAGATTCTATCTATTGGCAAAGATTAATGAGCCATCCTTGTTCCCGCATCCGGTATAATAGGCGCTTGTTAAGTACTGTATCAAACGCGCCTTACATATCTAGGGTTGCCATGGCCATGACCTTACCGTTCCGCATTGTCGCTTCTGCATCATGCATGACATAGGAGAAAAGATCAACCGCTAAACGCCCAGTTAGGGCGCAAAAGAGCTGCTGAGGAACAGCTCGATGTTTAAAAGCCAACCAGGCCATTTGCTTGGCCACTAATTGTTTCAAACCTTTGCCCAAGTAGGAGAGAAGAAAGATTGGCCGCCATCCTTTAGCAGTCGCGGGATTTCGCCCTGTTTTGGGAAGAAGCACAACTTCTGCAACCCCAAAATCTGTAGGAGAATGATTGATTTCTAGTCAAGCTTGAAAAATGTCTCTTCTATATTCTCCAATTTCGTTCCAGCATGATTTAAGCAATCGTACTGTAATCTTATCTGACCCTAGGGACTTATCTCTGTTCCAAATGGTGCATGCAATGACATTATCTAGTGATTGCATATGGTTCTACGGGATTGACTCCCGTTGACCACACTCCCACAAAGCTAGGTCATGGGCCGCGTTGAATCTAGCCACTAATTTATCTCTTAAGCTTTTTGCTCGCTCAAGTGAGTCCGATTTCCATCTATCCCTCGCGACTTTCAATGGAGGGGATTTGTGACACACTTTGGGTTTGGCCAGACGCATCACCTTGAAGACCTGAGCCTGCGAGGAAGCACTTTCGACTTGTTTCCTCCAGTGTTCTTTCTTGGCCGCCTTGACTGTCGCTCTGAAGCTTTTACGTGCCTGTGTTGATCCTTCGGAAGAGTTCCTGGAATCCTGAAACTCACGGTATTTCAACTTACAATCCTCCGTCCACCATGGTTCTGTATTCCGGCATGATATTGAGGGTCTCTATGCTACTGCCTTGAGGGCGTCCCCAAGTGCTTCCAAAAGGCTAGATGTCTGGCGTTCAATATCAGCCACGCTACTTATAGGTTCCGGTTTGATCCACGCCTTGACGTATTGCGCAAACTTATCGAGGTTTTTGTCGCTGACAATTAGTCCTTGTGTGAGATTGCGGTTATTAAATATTCTTTTGTACTGCACAGATCCTACAATGGTGCCGTGATCCGAGGTACAATTGTACTTGCGTGAAACTGTCGCCGTGGCCCATGTAATACTCCATACCAAGTCAAGCACATTCCCGTCCCGATGTGTGGGTACCCCTGCTATGATGAGCAAATACATATTTTGAGCCAAGGCCCATTCCATGATCTGATCACCGTTGTCACACTGACGTGGAGCCTGTGGTTGCCAGTGTCTTGACACCGTGTTGAAGTCCCCCCCGACGACAATAGGACCAAGAGTTCTCCTCTGAAGTAAAAGCTCCAAGGACCCGCTAGTTCCAGGAGCACAATAGATATTTGCAAAAGTCAGACCATCTACTTTTACGAAACAATAGTCTAAGGTGGGCCTATGTGTCGGAAAAATTTTCGTGGCAGTCAAACTTTTCCAGATGAAAGTAATAGCTCGAGGACGGTTTCCCGTTTCTCCAACTGGTTTATAACTCTTAAAGCCAGGATGAATTTTTGTCATGAAGTCTCTGTCTATCTGCATTGTCTACGGTTCTTGTACCATGAGAACGTACGCTCCTGCATCCCACGCCTGTTGTAATGCAGTGTCCATGTTCGTTCCACCCTTTTCTACATTCACTTGGTGAAATAGAAGGGTGCTATTTTTTCCGGTTGAATGATTAGAGTTTGGTGTCCTTGTTAAATTACAAAAGCCTTGGTCAAACATAATCATTCTTATACCCTCAACATAATGGAGTTATGGTTGTGGTAAATGTTAAAATAGGAGTATAAGGGTAAGGCGTTTAGAGATTTTATATACCCTTTATTATTAGTCCCTTATTAGTGTGTAGACTAGGCTGGTAGTCACATATTAGTAGGAGCATAGTCGCAGGATGAATTGATGCTGCGCATGCCGTGAGATATACACGTTCTGTTAACCCTATACTTTATCAGTTCTACTTCCAGTACTACTGCATCACCCGTCTAAAGGAATCATATTCTGATAGTCCTACTAATTGGCCAACCATCGGCGCTCCCGAAGTGTTGATAACCTCAACAGCCTTATCCTTCCTTTCCCACGCCACTGGCGCAGCTTTAAAGTCTCGGTGACCGCGTTCTCGGATAACATGCAGCTATATTAGTGTGCAGGAAACTAGTATTCCATTATGTCTTCTCAACAGGCCATGCATATGAGGTCCATCGACTCGTGAGGTCCTGCACAATTTGTGCACTTTAGTAATTTTTTCGGGCATTCCTTTGTCTCATGCGCTCTCGTACAACGTCCACATCTTTATCCCTCGGTGCAAGCTCTTGTAATATGTAATCCAAAAAATCGCTGACATTGTTCAATAGGTCGTCTACGTGAAAACAACATCGATGGTCCACTCTCGTCAAAGAGTCTAAATTTCAGGTTCACTGATTTTTGTATGAAGTGCATAATCCAGTTTGTGGGATATTAGCCCAATCTTACTTGGTTTGGCCGAATCATTACTGGTGTGACCTCACAGATAGACTGATACACTGTTTTTACCATTTCACTTGTAACTAAGATGCTGCCTTCAAGGGTACTGATGTAAAGAGGGACGTGTGGGACAATTATTAAAGTTCTAGAGGGTATCTGGAATGATAGAAGTGAACGTTGACCGTCAAATCAATACTGTGCGAATCGTAAGATATTGGGGATTTAAAGATCAGAGATAAAAGGTTAGGATCAGTGAGGTCTTTGGTTTTACTGAACTTATATTTTGTTTAGTTAAAAAGCGTTAGATTTTTAATCTTCATCTAATTTTCTATCTATGTTCTACCTCGCTTAGGTAGAAACATTATGTTCTGATTACGTGATAGAATAAAATTCCCACCACTGAGATCATTACCAACCGAGACCTGACCAAAGCTGGTAGCGATCGAAGATGGCTACTCTTCGTCTACTCCGCACTGCGTGCAGTTCAGTCTGGTATGTCTTTATTTCAACAAAAAGGACTGAAACCCAGTCTGAGGCTGTAGAGATGGTGATTTTCTGCTGCTGGAAGGATGGGGCAACACCCAGAACTGTTTCTCTTGGAGAGTCTGAAGCGCATTCAAAGGCCAGGCCAGATCGGATCTGGTACATCTGCACGATTGCGGATGCCATTACTCCAGCTCGCTCCATGATTATCTTTTTTATGGTGACAGGAGATAGTTTCCGCAATTCGTGATCTAGACCCAGTCAAAGAAAAGGTCGTTTATCTTCTTTTGGGGGCATTGGAGTCGTCGTATTTGCCGGCAAGACAGTCTTTCGATGGGGCGGAGCTGCTGGAGGATCTGGGAGCTTTGCAGCTCTACGAGCTACTGTTGCCCATGGATTCTTGTCTGCTTGAGGCTTTGCTGGGATCACGCAATCAGGTGGCGCGAGTATTTTGGTCGCCCTGGGAGCCTCTGTTGTTATCGCGCTCTTCGAGGTTTGGTGAGTCTTACGGGGGGGCTCATTTGTCTGTGTGATTCAAATAGCAAACGACGTTACTACTGTAGCTATAATTTCAATGAGAGGCATCACTATGGTCATCGCCGCTGTTCCTGCCTTGATTTTAGCCCAGGCATCAATTATTTCTAAGAATTCCCGGGCAAGATCCAGACTTTCTTTTCTTTGTTGCTCTGCTTTTTGCATTGCCACGGAAATACCCATCACGGTTGGGTGAATTGTTGCGTTGGCAGAAGCCATTGCACCGCTAAGTATTTTAAGTTAAATTGGACTCTAGTTCAAGATGATAGTTGTGAGTATGCAATGTGATGATGATGTACCTGATGTACTCATGTCATGCGTATCTCCATTTCTGAATTTGTTGGTTCCTGTGGACAAAATAAGAATTTGCAGGGGTACCAAAGATGGAGTATTACTCCTTATGGTTTGATGGACGTGAGGCGCACTAGACTTGAGAGGTAATTCATCATAGTAGTACATTCGGCCTTGCCCAGGTCAGTTTACCGAATCGGATGAATATCTTCTTGAACATATGCAACGGATAACCAAAAAGCTTCTCCATCTTCTAAAGCATAGAGAGAGATTATGTTGGACAGCTATCAATCTGCGAATTTCAAGTCAGACAATATTACTATCGATAATATACTGCCAAAGTTACTAGTATCCCCGCCACAGTCACCTTCAAATTCTATCACGGATCAACATTATGATAATACTATTCGAAAACAATTAGAATATGTCAGAAGTATACCTTTACCAGTCTTTCTACAAAAGACTTCTAGCGAGAAAACTGCCTTAGATGTCGGTATAGATTCTCCATAGAGGATTTGTGTTGGCTAATATAAATCTGTAGGTTATAAATCCAACTCTCAATACTGTGCCGTACACTTTTGTAATTTTGGCTAACATCACATATTTTTCGAAAAGAATTGAGGAAACGGAACTGATGTATTTTTGGAACAAGATATCAAGCTACCTGGACCTCTTTGACGCGAGGCAAATACGATACCTCGGGGAAGAGTTCTCTTCGATCATTGATGCTTTTATAAATCTTTCACGCCAAAATGATCAAGTAATTTTAACTGTATTTTAGAGGCACACTGTGACTGACTTTAAGCAGTCCGAACACGCAATTATATCCATTCGAGAGGCACTATTACGCATAGATCCCTCCGGTGCTGTACTCACACCGAATCATGTAAAACTTACAAAACTGGCCCTGGAATCCCGAAAGTATCATGCCATCGGCCAGTTCTTGGAAAGAGTAATCTTATACGTTCCAAACAGTGATAACCTACCAAAACCAAAGTACATCTGTAGTTTAAGTCTAAGTGCAGTAGCATATATTAGTGCTGATGCTAGTCTTGCTATGAAATTAAAATACATTGACGTCTTGGAATACTTCTTAAACTGTGGCATAGCTTGTCTTGGATGCAGGAAATGGGAAAGTGCATTGAAACATTTTGAGTGCGCAATTACGTTCCCGACAAAAGACGTTGTCAGCAAGCCTATGGTGGAAGCATATAAGAAATGGATCTTAACAGGACTGATCTCGATGGGAAAGCGACCTAACCTTCCAAGGTCGACAAGTACAACAGTCTCAAGAATATATCATGTGCTTGCAAAACCATATGAAAGCCTTGCTCTCATTTTTGAAAACGGTACTGCCTCTCGACTAAAATCTGAGGCCGAATTCGGTCAGAGAATATGGGCAAGAGATTGTAACAAGGGCCTCGTCGCTCAAGTCCTCGCTTCATACCAGAAGTTACAAATTCGTAACCTTGCTAATATCTATAGTAAGATTTCCGTTTCAGAAGTCCAGAATCAGACGATTAGTGCAGAAACTGGCAGCAAATTATCAACAGTTGCAGAAGTTGAAAGCTTGGTCCTTAATATGATAGAAAGAGGAGATCTATCCGCTACAATAAGTTCTTCACCCGATGGCTCGTCAATCTTATCATTTTCGCCGACTGGCCCGATCTTGTCTGAAGCCCAAATGCAACAGGAAATAGCCTCGACTATATCCAGGGTCCAAGACATATCCAGAGAGATTAGCTTGACAGACCGGAATTTGACCTACAATCCAAGCTTTGTTAGGTACTTACAACGAAATAAACTTGGATATAAGCAGAGAATTGGTGACACTGAAGGGCATGTAGCAGATTATACGATGAGCTGGGACGTTGACGTAGAGGATGAGGATATAATGGGAGTTTATTAATAATAATAAGTATAACGCAGTGTTGAAGGTTATGGGTGATCTTAAGACACAAAATGGACCAAATTAAGCTACATGAGCACCAACTGTGGTAACATAAATCCTAAGCAACTATCCAAGTGTAAGAAGAAGACCTTAATGTCGGAATCATGTGTTAACCCTAACTGGAGTCGAGAATTCAAAATTCAATCTTATTTAAACCTTCAACATGCACCAACTGTGCCTTTAAAAAAGTCTGGATTATCTCTCATTATTATAGCCCCAATAGGACATTAATCTGAAATGTATTCTACAGCCTGAAATCCACAGGTTCTTTATACGTTATGAAAAGGTAGTCATATACCTGCTTTGCCTTGATTTGATTAGTTTCTTATGGAAATACAAATTTAAAAAGCTTACATCTTATGTTTTGAAAGTGAGTGGACGGGTTTGAAATTAGTCTCACAAGCGTACCCTTCACGGCCGTCTGTGTGTTGGAAAAAGCTAGGATGTTTTCCTTAGGAAGGCAAGAAACAAGCATACTAGGCATAAATCAACAAGTGAAGACATGCCACCAAACATTGGAAAATCGCCTTTTCGTCAACAACATCTGCCCACCATCAGCTACGCCTTTATTGATTTGACATTCGGCTTCGTCAGGCCAGAAGTTTCTGGCATATATGGTTTCCAGCATTCTCATCCTCTTAGTTCAACACTTTTCGAAAAATAGCCAATTTTTTAGCTGTTAGGACGAAAAGTTTTATCACCAGCCTTGACAAGACTCGACGCGTGCCAGAACTAGCGCTCCCAAGAGCAGTTTAAGCTCGTTTGATCGCTGACCGAACAGGACATAGTGATTTCGCAGCGTACCACCGTCGTTTAAATGGAGGACGAAGGCTGAACACCTATCAGTGATGTCCTCTACGAACCTGGGAGTAAAATATTCTCCCAGAGCCGAGATTCAGTGACGACAAAGGGCAAATTTGAGAGTTTTCGTCCAGTTGGCGATCGGGAGGAGTGGTGTTGGCTCATTTTTGGTCGAAAATCCGACTAGCAGAGATTTCACGACTGCACAACTCAACTAAATCAACCATCTACACCCCAGATACGAACCGCAGACAGGCGATAACCTGTCTGATGTTCATATCACAAAAACCGACACCTTTATGATCTTTTTCCTTTTCTCTGGAAAATCATTCCCAGCCAAACTCATCTCGCGGCCCTCTACACAATCATCTCACCACCTACCAAAGCAATCCCAGACCTCCAAAAGCCAAATTGCCATTAAAGAAGCAAGAGAATGTCCGACCATACACAACTGCCTGTCGCTGTGAAGGTACGGTCGAAATACCGGCCTTAAATGCGTCCTCACCTCGTCCAAGGGCACCAACAACTCGACCTGCGACGAATTGCCACCGACGAAATATGTACGACATTTCGCCGACACACCAACTAGAGCATTCGACAAAGGCTGGGGCACAAGTGCCTCGGTCCTGAGCTCTCAGTCGCGTTTTCGACCTCCACGGTTGGGGTACGGCAGCGACAGAGCAAGGCCGAAGGGGTGGACATTCAACAAAGTTTCTGGGATGACGAGATCTGCTGAAGGATAGAGGGATGCTGCATGAAGGAATAAAAGGGTATACAAACTGAGGAGGCCTTCGTGGGCGACTGGGTTAGGCCTCCAGTGAAGAAAACAACCCCTGGATGAGATGAGGAGATGCTGAGATGAGCCAAAGCTAGAAATCAATCGAAGGGAAAAATTACAGATCGCGGAGGTGTCAAGGGCTCGGGCGCGTGGTGGCCGAGGCCGAGGAGGAATTGGCGCTTCGGCGCGCCAAAAGGGGGTTCTCTGGACGATTGAGCTTGACATGATTCAACACATGGGTGAAGTCTGAGGTGGTCCGGTTATTTAGGTGGGACGAGGTAGATGTACTTAATAGTAGTTAACCTAATCCAGCCCAGCCCTACCCGTGCTTAAGCTCCAGTAGGAGTGCAACGGTAGTCACTTTACCTAGCACGTTGATGAACAAACCAAACCAGACCAGCTGTCCCCCACTCTGCTTTCCAATTTAAATGTAGCAAATTTCCTCTACCGGGAACTCGTCTTTCTTTTTTCCAAGTATTTTTAAATTACACCTACAAACCAAGAAAATAAGAATAAATCCTTCCATCTAACATTAACCCCCATACCAGATCTTAAAATTTCACTTGGAAATATCTAATGGGCTCTTTAGATTTTGTTGTAGAATTTCGTCAGTTCGACCCATTTTCCGAAGGCGAGGGCACCTTTAGGCGTGCCAAGTACCCATTTGATGCCGGGGCAAGGATGACGAGAACTATCGCGAAGACGGGCACGGCTTCTTCCTGTACTGCAGAAGAAGAAGTGATCAGGGCTTTAGTCATCGCCACAGGAGCAAGTCATTAGGGCATCTTCGTGTGCGAAACGTCGATGATATAGGGCTAAATCTCTGTGTCCGGAACGAGCTGCGATGAGCGCCCCAAACGTCCGACGATTTAAGCTTTTTAGTTCTGGGGTTATTCCTGAACTAGAACCAATTTTGAGTTCTTTATATCTAGCCGGGGCCTTTCGTTCCCAGAAGGCGCCGCTGGAGGCCTAATAGAGCTGAGCCACCTTCCTTTTTGCCCTTGCTATGGACAGAGGGAGAGACGATGTAGGCATTAGACATGCTGACTTGGCTAGAAAGTCTGCTGCTTCGTTTCTGGGGATTCCAGAATGTCCAGGGCACCATCGGACACTGACTGTTCCAGCCCTCGTGCAAGATGCGTGTTGTGGTTATGAGGCTATGTACGACGTCTTGGAGTTTGGAGCTTAATAGTCTGCGGAGCTGAGGGTAGAGCAAGGTGTGGAGATTAAATTAATTAGAATCTATATGTACATATATGTGTATATAAAAGGGATGAAGCGGCCCTATCTATCTATACAATAGAAGTGCTCCTAATACCATACGCACGAGCCTCGGCTAATCCCTCGCCGTGCCTTGCTAGCCACACTTGGTTTAGTTCACGTAATGTCTCATTGCTTACACACGCCCATCCATATTGTATATCGCAACAATGCGCGTTTCCTTCCAGACCAGCTGGCTGCGAGTTTTCGGAATTTCTTAATTTGACGGGAACTTTTTGCGGTGGTGGGTAACAGGAGCAGCCGTGGAGCCGCTTCTTGGTTGTCTAGGCAGACAGTTACGTTAGTTGCATAAAATGCCATGGGATTGTGGATGGCAGCCGCTAGCCCCTCAGTCGTTCCAGCAATTTCTGCATCATAAACTTCTACTGAGGTACCTAGAGGTATAGCTTCATAGGCTATCTCGTGTGACGCGCCAAGTCGTATCGAATATCCTGCTCCTGCTCGGTTCTCGATTAACGCGCCATCGGAGAAAACAGAGAGGTCCAACATTGATTGCAGATCTAACCAACCGGAGAAGGTATTGACTCCGGCATTGCGGCTAACTACTCCGATATTTTCCGAAGATGTATCCCGATTAACTTTCCAGGGTGGGGGAATAGTATCTTCTGAGAGTTCTGGAGAAATTCTTTGTCGGATCCACAGCATTCTTGCGTAATTCCATCTTCTACATAGGGGTGCCTAGGATCTGCCGAGGATATTCAGACGTATTATGGTATGAGACAACGAGGTATTCATGACTAGGGCATTGCGTGTGGCTCAAGGCCACAGCATACATCTCAAGTGTACTGGTTAGGCGAGCATGTATATAGTTTCGTAGATGTACCCACAATAAATAGATACAGGGTTAGTCTTTTACTTTCTGTTGATATACCTACAGCATAGTATTGTATGAGGCTACTCACTGTCAACCACAAATTATAACATCATCCACTCCTCATCACTCCGCAATGTGACTTCCGCATAGCTCATAACCACAATTGGACGGCTAGGCGATCGTGAGTACGTTCAAGCCAGGTTCGTACAGGACCCCAACCTGTCTCCCGGAGAAGTACAGCAACTGGCGTCGTACGGAATACCGGAGGAGCTGCTCGGGCCGCGTCGTTCATCCTTTTTCGTATTCTAGGAACTAGTCCTTTTGGGGTTCCTTTGGAATACCAAGTCTCAGCCCCGTAGAGCAAGGTTGTAAGAGCTGCTCCTCTAAGTGCTTGTCTCAAGAGAAGAGGCCTTATTCCTCGAGTGATTCTTGAGAGGCTTTTTTTGTGACTCGTGATGGCAAAGAATCTACTGCATGTTTGTCTCACATGTTCTCTAAATCGAAGGCCTCGGTCAAAGATGACCCCAAGCCAGCGTGTGTGGTCGTTTGGAGTGACCTCTACCTCATTAGCTGTTAGACACTGGGGGTCAAATGAAAAATGTAAAGTAAAGTTGTATTGATGAAATCTCCGCTCCTCAACTCCTCCCCAGCAGTGATGCCATATACCAATCTGAAACTTTTTCGAGGAGAGAATATCTTCTCCTTGCTTCCCAAAATTACACTTGAAATATATTACATGGGTTGAAGATCAAAAGATCTCAAGTCAGAGCTTTGACTATCCTGAACATCCTGAACATCCTGAACATCCTAGTCATCCTGATCACCATATCCCTGGTGAGATATCAAAGCTCGAATTAGTTGATCCGACAAGATGTGTCATCCTACTATACAATGATTCTCATTACCATATTCAGTAGGTTCCAAACCATCAGATGTTTAACATTCGCTTATATGCTGGGCTCTGCTGGGGATCCATGCTTTCGGTGGAATAATTGCAGCTCAGTTTTGGACACCTTAAAAGTGATGCCGTTCTCGCGCCCTCGTGCGAAGGTTGAGTCTAACTATGCTGTGGTTATGAGCTGTGAGGTGTATGGCAATTATGACCCTGCTGTCCGTCAGTGGAGTGGCACAGACTCATGTGCAATGGTGAGTTGCGGAGATGGCGTGCTCATGCTGGGTTGACGGCACGATGGACACTGTGGCCAATTGGTGTCAGTAGGTATCAAATGTGAACTCTTACTGATAATGGGGATCTATGAAGGTGATATTGGATGCGCATCCCAA